GAGCCGAATACGAACAAGAATATTTAAATCGAGCCGAACACGAACACACTGTTCACGAGCCGATTTTGAACACGAGTCGATTTCGAACACGAGCTATTTCAAACGAGTCAAACACGAGCCAAGCCTAAGCTCGCTCAAGCTCGGCTCGTTTACAACCCTATTATTAATCAATCAAAATAAATTTTATCGAGCCTATTAAAATGCAGATTGTTAAGCCTTAAAATGAGATTTTAATTAAGCAAATTAATGAGCATTTTAAGGAGGGTAAATAATTAACTTGTATTTATGAAAAGATTAATTGGAAAAAGAAAATAATCAAATAATTTTAAATTAACACATTTATAATTGAAATTTACATAAATCAAGTTTTAAAAACGCATACTGTCAAGTTTTAATTAAACTTCTTCTTAACGTATTTGTTCCAAAAATTGTAAATAATATTATTCACGAATAAAAACAAAGCAATCACTTAATTTTTAATATTTATTTAATTATCAAATAAGCATTTATATAAATAAAAAAAAATTATTTGTTATTTGATGATGGGGATAAAATGAAAGTTGTGAAAGTGGAGCGGACATGAGTGTGGGCATGACTATGTGTCAATCTTTAGAATGGTCGAATCGTTACACATCACATCTCCATTTTGCTCTCGCTCCCATGTTAGTTTGTCTTTTTATTCGGTCGGCTTTTTCTGCTTGACATGGAATGTAATTTTAGTAGTAGTAACTCTAGTGACAGAAATATAATTATGGGTGCTCAAATTATTAATAGGTGTGATAGCTTTAGATATCTCGGATCTATTGTAGAAAGTGATGGTGATATTGATGGGGATTTTATTAGTAGAATTCAAGTTAGTTGGTTGGAGTGGAGGAATGCTTCGGGCCTATTGTGTGATAGTGTGATAGAAAAGCACCGCTTAGAATGAAAAGAAAATTTTATAAGATGGTGGTGAGAAGTGCAACGCTCTATGGCATTAAATGTTGGCCTTTAAAAGAGAAACATAAAATAAATTGTGTGTTCCCGAGATGAGAATGATTAGGTGGATGAGTGGCTTTACACTTAAGAGACAAAATGCGAAATGAATATATCCATGATAGGGTTTGATAGATAGGGTTGGTGTAGCTCTAGTGACGGACAAAATTAGAGAGTCGTCTTAGATGGTTTGATTACATTAGATGTCGACCATCTGATGATCCGATTAAAATAATAAATGTTTTTAGATTCGACTTATGTTAAGAAAGGCAGAGGTAGATCTATGAAGACTTGGGCATATTGTATAAAAAATGATCTTAAGTTATTAGAATTAAATAAAAATATGCCACTAAATAGGACGCAATCGAGAAGAAGTATTCACGTAGCCAACCCCACTTAGTGGGATAAAGGTTTTGTTGTTGTTGGCCTTTTATGTTCGGTCAATTGAATTGTTTGTTTTGTGCAGATTGATGGTTTGCTCTTTTCCCTGGTTAGGATTGATTCTTCCACACATTCCATCCCGATGGCTTGATTTGGTTCAACATACTTTGATCACGTATATTTTAGTTCATGAATTCTCTTGTATATTAGTAGACTACAAGCTGCGAAAAGAATATGAGAATTAATATTAATTAACTTCATTGATTTTTGTGCTCGTAATATAAAGGACATGAAACCCTCTATTAGCTAAGGTTCACTTAAATTAGCTCCTTAGACAAATATTGACCTACAAGATTCACTTGAATGAAACAACACATGATTACTAACAAAGATCCTCAAGTTGAGTTGACTATTTGTTCTGACCAAGTAAACCAATGAACACGACACCACAAGATGATGAAACAATGAGATTTTGACTAGGTGCGTCATTATTTTCCCCATCATCTGTTCTTAAGCTCACAATAATAATTTCATAAATTATGAATTTTTAATAAGTTGCTACTATACATCGAGTAATCAACTTCATGATGACCAACCTTAACTAAAAATGCTTTCCTAATATCTGGAGCGATAATTAGCTATAACGGTTTGTGTTTATCAGAAATCTCGAACCTCAGATCTTAAAGTCCTCACAAACTGAGGGTGAAATCTCAGGTATTGTATTATCTACTATCTCATCTGCCTTCTAAAAAGTTAACCCAAAACCTCACGACAAACTTCCCTCATTCTCTTTTTCGAGGGAGGTTGGGATCATTTTGAATTTTCTTAGCCCATAGTAATTTAAAAGACAATCAAGCATGCTTAGCCCTGACTGTACCAAAACATTTAGGGTTGGGATAGGCTAAAACACTAATAAAATAGCAATATCTTCAAATTTATACTGACAGATTGAACTGAAGAAATTTAACATAGATACCACAAAATTCTAATGTATTCACAAATCTAGAACCTATAGCTTGATATTATACTTGTAATTCTGGTGTTATAAATCAATGCATAAAGATGCATTTTTCACTTCCAAGAAGTTAGACATAGTGATATATTTGATGTGATGTAAAAGATTTGAGTGGTATACACGTAAATATAAAACTTAGATATGTAAACATATAAGAATATATTGGTACATATGTAAATGCACCTTGAACTTGTCCTCTTCCAAGGCAGGGAAATTTACCTAAATAAACAACAAAAATGTAAATCTACACAAAAGTAACCAAAACTCATATAATGAGTAAATCAAACACCACAAAAAGGAAAGAAAAAAAAAGAAATAATTATATCAAAACCTTCAATGTAATGCCATAAATCTACTTAAGCTTATTACCAGATTAAAAAGCAGAAGTATGAATGCTGCAAATATGAGCACTGAAGTTGGTTTACTTACCTATGCAAAATTTGCTAAAAATATTAGACAAAACTTCCTCGGAGATATCGACGCCGCTGATCTCTCCGAGCGCCATTACCGCTTCTCTAAGGTCGATGGTCCAGAAATCCAGCGGCAGGTCATCTTCTATGGATGATTTTAGTCTTGAGAGGGCCTCTTTTGTTCTAATAAGTTGCTCAGTCTGTCTCTGAAAGCGAAAAAGCTATGAAGTTTTTATAAAGTATATAGAAGATTGAATAGCAGATCATTAACAGAAATTCCTGTAAGAGATATAGATAATGGCATGGTCTAAAAGCAATGATTTTTTCTTGCACAGAAAAGAATACAATGAGCAGAAGTAAAATATCATATCTATACATTACTGCCTTCATTTACATACATACCAACCAATTCTTATGTCTTTACATATCTAAAACTTAAACTTTGCTTTTTACATTTATACCAACCAAATCATGCATATCACATAAAGAATACAATTATTTTTACCTTCAATCATTCCAAGATCTAAGTTGCTAGTGATGATTAACCTGGCTCAATAATCAGGTCAAATCTTAATAACCCAAACAAAAATAAGACCCCATTCACACATATTCAACTTAGACAATAATTTAATTATGTTATACATATATAAAATTATGCATATATAAGAATGTGTGCATGCGTGCTAATATTCACACGTGTGTGTGTGTGTGTGGATGGATGTGTGTGTCTGTATTTAATTTATGTATGTGCGTGTATATCTATATAGATATGTATGTATGTACGTATGTACACACACATTTGTATGCTTACAAATTCATATTCGTAGTGCTAATGTTCATATGCATGACCATATTTATATTACATAATTTATAAATGACTTTCATTCTACAAGAAATCAAGTAGACTTTATGTTGGTAAATAGCCCATGATTGGCTCCATAAATAGACAAAAACAAACACATAAATTTTACTCTTTTACTAAAGAAGTCAAGCCAAACAGCATTTATTTTGTTTTATTTGTATTTATTTATTCATTTATTGCTTTGAACCCGACACCATGGGATTCTTCTCTGTGTCCAACTAATATGCTACGCACTCGAGCACCAAAGCCAAACAACAGCTGGCTCACAAAAAAAAACTGCTTAATTACACCACCAATCATTCAAGTCATTTTTCTTTACATGCTACAAATATCTTTTCTAGGATACATAGTTACATTTTAAGTATTCCCAAAGTCTTGAACAAAGCTAAAATTTTATTAACATCAATTCTGCTCGATCATTGCTGCAACCACATTGTCTCAACGTTTTAAGTTAAGAAAGTCTTAAAAAAAGTAATCCTTATATTCATCATTTTTCATTTAACAAAAAAATGCAACAAAAGGCAAAAAAATAATCCATTTACCTGATTTATAGTCCACCTTCGACCTCCTAATGAAATGGGCTCCAGACCCCTAACCTCTAACACTGCCTTCTCCAATTCCAAAATGCCTTTCCCAGTAATAGCACTTGTTTCAACTTTCTTCTTAAACATCTCATCAACACGCTCCATTGAGATTGAAGGAGCGCAATCTATTTTGTTTATAACAAGTATCATAGGAGTGGCACAACTAGTTGATCTCTGTTCTTGTAATAAAAAAAAAGAAAAACAAAATATTATCAACAATATAATATAAAAAAGCTAAAAAATAACTAAAAATAAAGTTAGTAAAAAAAATTAAGAACCTGAATCATCTTGATTTGATAATATAATATAAAAAAGCTAAAAAATAACTAAAAATAAAGTTAGTTAAGAAAAATTAAGAACCTGAATCATCTTGATGCGTTCTAGGAGTCTCTGATCATCTTCTGTCCACCCATCAGCTGCACTTACTGTCATTATGATGACATCAGAGCCCATTGCAGCAGCTTCTGTTCTTTCTACCCCTTAATAAATTAAAGAAAGATTTTCATACATACAACTCAATTCCTGGGTATTTACATATCTAACATTTAAACTTCAATTTATACAAGCATGCCACCTTACCTATCAATGAAAAGGGGTATTTCACATTTTAAAAGTAACAACAGTGGTATTTTTTATGTGATATGATGGGTTCGAATGGCATAAATGTAAGAAATTAAAGTTTAGGTGTTAAACATGTAAATACAAAGTATTTAAATTGCACAACAGTTTTACGCGAATCTCATGTAGTTTTTATTACGTTGTGTGCATGAACAAATTTGGTTATCTAGAATAGTCAAAAACTGAGTTTTTGCAATGAACAGAATGTATTTCAGATCAAGACATACACCAAAAATATTTAAGGGAAATTTACATACATAAGCACACAAATCTTATGTATTCACATATCTCACACCTAGACTTTCATATTTATCTTTAGCATCATCTAAGAAATTCTACCATCACTACATTTTTAAAAGTGAGATGCACCTTTTCATGACATCAAGTGTTTATAAGTGTAAATATCAAACTTTGGGTGTAAGATATGTAAATAGATAAGAATTGTGTGGCATGTATTTAAATTTCCCAATATTTAAGTAAGAAATCAAAATTCTGATTAGATAAGAAATTAGCAAACATCAAACATTCACTCGTGATTGTTGCCAACAGGTTTTGTTTGAGGGGGAAAATTGGAGACTATTCTACTCACTAAATATTAGACATGCTTATCTATTTATAAATTAATGTATTGCAAAATAAAACCAAAATACATCTGCACTAACCAATTTTTTCCACAGCATCGTTAGTTTCTCTGACACCAGCAGTATCGAGCAGCGTGACAGGAATACCCTCAATAGTAACATTTGCTTCTAATACATCCCTTGTAGTTCCAGCAATTTCAGTAACTATTGCTCTGTTACTCTGCATACTAGTAGAGAGACAAATTTTTAATGAGGATTTACAAGTAATTTCTTTTATCTGAGCCTAAGGTAATAAAATTTTAATAAGGATAAATGATTAACGAGAATTTTAAATATGGCACAATAAACCTACTTTGCTCCAAGCATTGAGAAGGCTCGACTTCCCGACGTTAGGCCTGCCAATGATTGCTATCTACAAGATTTTTTTATAATAAATGATCTTAGAAAGTATAAAAATAAGTTATAAACTAAGGGGTTTGATATTGGTACTACAAAATAACACAACAATGTAGTTATTTGAAACTTCTATTACAAGAAACTTTCGAAAAAAGGGGAAAAAAGTAGGGACAAAATGCGCCCAGTTGGTTGTACCAATAAGCATCTCAGAGAAGATTGGGGCATTTACATACATACCACCCAATTCTTATATATTTACATATCTAATGCCTAAGTTTTGATTTTTACATTTATACAATTTCGGCCAAGCTCACTCTCCTAGCCGAAAGTTGGTAAAACCCCTTCCTCCTCTCCTTGGCCAAAAATCCACCTTCTCCTTCTCCTGCAAACAAGGAGCCACGAGTAGAGCTACTTGGGAAGCTATCGGAGGAATAAAAGCAAGCAAAAACCACTAATGCTTCCATTTCTCTTCTCTATTTGGCTCCAGCTCAGAAAACTAAGAAAGTAACCCTTCTTATTCCTTCTCCCATTTTTCCTTCACATTTTGAACCCTCTAGCTTCCCTAAATCCATCATTGCAAGGAATTTTTTTCTTAATTTTATATTTAGAACAAGTTTGAGAGTGGATGGGCATCTTTTTGAATCTTTTAGAATTCAACAAAAAAATGCTAATATCGTTATTGGCAGATTTTGTATTTTAATTTCACATGTGTTGTTTAATTTCATGTATTTGTATGTTTCATGGCTATATTGTGGTTTTACATAGACTATTTGATCTTATGCATTTCATTTACATGCTTAGGGCTTCTGGCTCTATGTGAACAATATGCTTACATGAGAGTTTTTCAATGGTTTTCATGTGGTCTATACAAATGAATTCTGGCTCTATCTAAATAATATGCTTACATGAGAGCTTTTCATTAGTTTTTATGTGGGCTATACAAATGGCTTTTGGCACCATGTGAATAATATGCTTATATGAGAGTTTTTTAATGTTTTTTTTGCTGAATAATAAGCTTACATGAGAGCTTTTCAATGGCTTCTATGTGATCTATACAAAGGGTTTTTTTGGCTCTATATGAATAATATGCCTACATGGGAGTTTTCATTCACTTTTATGTGATCTATAAAAAGGGCTTTCAGCTTTCTAACAATTTGTTAAGCTTGTTGGAGGTATCAAAGCCTGGAATGTTGATTCTAAGAGAGTTGTCTGAGATCTAAATACCACTTCAGAATTCCCAAGTGTTATGGACTTGAAGTGTAGTCCAGTGGAATTAATTTTTGTCTTTGCTGCTGCATCTAAGAGGCATGGATTTAGTAGAATTGATCAAATGGGCTTTTGCTTCTTTAACCGTTTGGAGCATGAGAATTTGAAAGGCCATGGCAACGCTGCCACTTGGCAAAAATCCACCAGCAATCACCTCACTGAGTTTCAATCACAATGGAAAGATTTTAGCGGATTCTACTACTGATAGAATGATTCACGAGTTTGATCCCAGCTTTACTAAAGAAAAGCACAGAAAAGAGTACGACCAAAGGTTCAAGTCCACCATGTTTGAATTCAATAAAATGTCTAAACCCGTTCTAATTAAAATAAAATTACAAATCTAAGCATTCTTAGCAATATTGGGTTAAAGACCAAAGGTTCAAGCCCATATCCTAGCCAGAATGGTTCAAGTCCACGATAAATTGGTAAGCTCCATAACTTTCCGAGCACGGGATGAAGACTTCAATTCCTGCCTCACAAAGAATCTTCCTCACCCATTGTTTGATATTTTCAAATCTAAGTTGAACATGGTTGTCAACCATGTTTGAACTCAAGGGAGAGTGTTAGAAGTTATATTAGGAAACAAATTATTCCTGTTAGAACTTATGAGGATTAGATTTATTTCCTTGAATTGGATTTATTTCCTTTCCTATTTTAGAATTATTTCCTTGGACTGGATTTATTTCCTTTCCTACTTTAAACTTTCCCTATTTTATGTCATTTCCTTTATCTCCAAGTAATTATTATGACTTGATTAATTGGAGATATAGGTGTTATATATTCTTTTCATGTTATTTCCTTTTTATTATTTTTCCTATTCTAGGATTAATGTAAGGGTATTTATATCTCATTTTCATATCAATAAAAAAAATTCTGCTGAATTCTAAATCAACAAAGATCACTAAGATCGGTCGTATTTTCAAAAACTTCATTAAAAAGTTTATCAAAATAGGTCACCCACTTATATTGAATATCTTCCTCTAAGAAAAATACTTTTTACTTTTCATCTTTAATACACTTTACTCAAGTTGAATCTTTACTTTTCTTTTCCCTTTGTTTGGCTAGCTTATACATATAATCTTCACTAACTTTAGTATCTAACCTATTATAAAGATCACTAAAATCAAAATTTTTAGCTTAAAAAATTGTTCTCTTACATTTCATACGGGCCACCTTATATTTTTCCCAGTTCTTTAAGCTTTTAAATTTAAACCAATTTTTATAACATAATTTCTTATATTTTCTCTTTTCTTGCACGTAATTATTCAACTACAAACTATTTATTTACAGAAACTTTTTTCTTTTGTTTCTTCAAGTACATCTTTTGTCACTTATTCAACATTGTTTGTTACTTTATCCTTAATAGAATTTGCTTTTATAAGAACATTGTTTAGAAGATTGTCAAAAATATTTAGCATGGGATACAAATAAAGTCAGCGTGACCATATATTATATATCAAATGCACGGCCTTAGGGGTGTCTCTGCACACTAATTTAAGTTGATAACATTGTTAGGTGATGATTTGAAAGAAATGAAGATTTAAAAATAAAGTTGCTACAAAAATTTTTAACTCAAAAAACAAGGCGAGCTAAAATATTCTTTTAAAATTGGAGTTACATATTATTGGTATGAAATTTTCATATTACAACAAAAATAAATAACCCATTTATTGAAAAAAACAAATAAGTATGGATACAAGCCTGTTAAGAACACCACAAATTTAAATCATAAATTTAGAGAGGCACCAAAAGACAGTAATTAAAAAATCTCATATTAAGGACTTGTAAAAAATATTTATCTACTTATCACATATTAAACTTCATATTACTTATTTTATTAGTGTGGTAAGTCAATGCAAATAAAATCCTAAATAATCACACCTTAGAGTAACATAATAAATTCTACAATATTTGAAAGGAACCCCAGATAAATGAAATATATTCAAAATGGGCGAGGATATGACACTTTAAGCCTACAAAAATGTGGATTGTATAGGTTTTATATTGATAGGTAATGACTTAAAAGAAATGAGAACTTAAAAATAAAACTGCTCCAACAAGTTTAACTCAAAAAAATAAGGCGAGCTAAAATTTTCTTTTAACATTGGAGTTGCATATTATCAGTATGAAATTTTCATATTACAACAAAAATACATAACCCATTTGTCGAAAAAGCAAATAAGTATGGATACAGACCTGTTAAGAGCCCCATAAAATTTAATCATAAATTTTGAGATGCACCAAAAGACAGTAATTAAAAAAATCTCTTATCAAGGACTTGTAAGAAGATTTATCTACTTATCACATAGTAAACTTTATATTACTTCTTTGATTTGTGTGATAAGTCAACTCAAACACAATCCTAAATACTCACACCTGTAACATAATAAATTCTACAATATTTAAAAGGAGCCCCAAATAAATGAAATATATTAAAAAAGAGAGAGGATAGGACAATTTAAGCCGACAAAAATGTGGACTATGTAGGTTATATGATTTAATATAAGGTTAACTTCAACAACAAAGATGTCAACTATGTAAGTTATATGAGTGATAGGAGGTTAACTTCATAATATTCACATTTCTAAAAGGCTACCACATGAACAAAGCATGGCAACAAGATTTAGCATAGAAGGTAAATATAAATCTACAATAGTAAGAATATGTGAATTGCTACGGCTAAAGATTATACTAGATGATTTAAGGGTTGAAAAGGAAGGTCCGTTGGGATTCTATTGTGAAAATAAATCAACAACTAATATTTTATATAATCACATATAAATGAGTGTGCATAACATATTGAGGTTGATAACTGGTTAAGAAATAAAACGCCATTAGTAACCACAAGTGATTAGCCGGCATACTCACCAAATGACAAAAGTTTTCAGATTAGCTTTAAATGGATGACACCCATATATACTCTTAAGAAAAAGTGTAAAAATACCTTATTTATAGCCCCGTGACCCGTATATTCGCATACTCTACCAAACTCTAGTGGTCCGCTAATCACACCTTATAATAGACAGTAAACTTCAAAGAGTGTATTTTTAGAATAACATATGAAAAAGGAGGATGCACTATGGATGAGAAAAAGGATATAGAAATGAATGAAAAAAAGCTATATACTTTATTATACAATAGCATGTGACTTCAAAAAGTGAACACATAACTTAAAAAATTTTCAAAAGTATAGTCATCATATCAAAATAGATATATTTAATTACAAGAAAAAAATCTTTTTTTGCAAAGATCATAAAATGCTTATGGCTAGGGGTGTAAATGAGCCGAACACGAGCGAGCCCAGGCTCGGTTCGTGTTCGGCTCGTTTATATTTCGAGCTCAAAAAGTGTATTCGTGTTCGGCTCGTTGCTTAACGAGGCGAACACAAGTTGTTCACGAACAAAGAGTCATTTTGACCATAAGATGGTAAGGATTGGGGCAATATTTAAAACATCATTTGAATCTAATTTAATAATTTTTATTCTTTTTTTTAATTAATACTTTTAATTGATTATAAATCTTTATAGCCTTGTAGTCAATTAAATTTTTTAAAAATACTACTCATCAAAGATCTATATATATATATCTAATTGATTAGTAGTATTTCGAGCCAAAACGAGCCGAACACGAACGAAAAAATATTTGTTTGTGTTGTTCGTGTTCGGGCCGTTAACTTAGTGAACGAGCTGACGTTGCTCGTGTTCGGCTCGTTAACTTAGCAAGTGAGCCGAACACGAGCTGTTCGTGAACAACGAGCCGTTTTGACAACCCTACTTATGGCTGAGTTTTAATACACAATATAGATAGTTAGTTATGAATTTCTATATAAAAAATATAGAAAATTAATTGTAATAAACAATTAACTTAGAATAAAGCGGTGAAATTTTAAATGAGGGAAATTATTAATCTTCCAACTTGTAGTACAAGCTACGAAGAAAGATAAATTGGAATTATATTGTTTAACAAAACTTCATGTGAAACAAGACAACTATTTCAATTAACAAGATTATCAAATAGATTTAAGGAGTCTGAAAACACATTGTAGATGGTAAAGAGACTTACTAGTAAAACGAGGGGGTATAAATGGTTAATAAAAGAAAGAAACATTCATTTTAAGAGATTCAAATGTTAAATATCATTAAAACTTATAAGCAATAAAAAAACACAACTACCACATCAAATTTTTGCTCAAATCCATTCTGAATTTGAGAAAATTTTTACAAGGATCGTTAAACAAATACCTGCAAGCCAGATTGAAGAAGTTTATCATAATTTGAGGTTTCTAATGCTTCATGCACATCACACCACATAGCATTTATTTTGCTGACCAACGTACCCAAGTTTAGAGGAGGCAACTCATCATCAAAATCTAAGCGACTTTCAATTTCTGCAAGCAACTCGATGCACTGCATCCTCAATGACTCGACTAAAGCAGAAAATCCTCCCTATCAGAAGCAATAAGTTATCAACCCTTACAGCATATATAAGTAATTATTAGGGGTATTTACATATACCATCAAATTCTTATATATTTACATAACTAACACCTAAACATTAATTTCTACATTTATATCATCCAAATCTTTCATATCATATAAAAAAAAACTATTTTAACTTCCAAAAATTGAAATACACCTTTTCAAGCATAGATGAGATGGAAATATATGTAAAAACTAAAGTTTAGGTGTTATATATTTATATAAGAATTAAGTAGTATGTATGTAAATCTTCCAAATTTTTAACCCTTACAGCTGAAGAAAAGCACTAAATACCTGTATCCCAGCCAATGCAGCATCAGCAGCAGCCAGAGACTTCGATGAAATAAGTTTCCCAACATTTTCAGCTTGAGCTAAGTCTAAGCGCCCATTTAAAAATGCCCGAAGGGTGAATTCACCTACAAGCAGCAATATTTTAGCGGTGCATAAGATCTGATACCCCACGGACAAAGTTAGTTTCTCCATTCATCCATCTTGAACGCTAAACTAGGTCTTAAACCATTTTGTTGGACAGACTTTAGTGCAACTTCAATCCATTAAATTATTGGGAAATTTACCTACATAGCACACAATTCTTATGTATTTGCATATCTCACACCTTAACTTTCATATTTACATACTAACTTTCATATTTACATACATATTTACATACATGAAATGGTATATTTCACTTTTTAAAAATGGTAATAATGTTATTTTTTATGTGATAAAATGCTGTGTGTAAATATAAAAGTTCAGGTGTGAGATATGTATATACATAAGAATTGTGAGCTATGTATCATGCATGTAGATGCCCCTAAATTTTTTGTCAACCCAACCCTTCATCCCGCTAAGCGATATGTAAATACCCCTTCATCAACTTTATTTATGTGACTTAATGATGTTCCTTCTACCCTTCATTATATAAACCCACAACATCAATAAGCCATTATCCCTCTAAGTGGAGTCGGCTATAGGAATCTTTTATCTCTATTGTGTCCTATTGAGTGTCATGTTTAATAATTTTAAAAAATTAAGATCATTTTTTATACAATATGCCCTATTCTTTTCAGGTCTACCATCTTTCTTAACATAAATCGAATCTAAAATATCTACTCTCCTAACCAGATCATCAAATGGTCGATGTTTAATTAGACCAAACCATCTAAGACGACTCTCTCTGATTTTGTTTGTTGCTAGAGCTATACCAACCATTTAAAAGATACATTCATTTCACATTTTGTCTCTATGTGTCAAGCCAATCATCCACCTAAGTATATTCCCATCTCAAAAACACTTAGTTTTATACTTATCTTTGAAAAGCCAACATTCTGCAGCATAAAGCATTGCAAGTCTCACCGCCATCTTATAAAATTTTATCTAAGCGGTACTTTTCTATCACACAATAGGCCCAATGCATTCCTCCACTTCAACCAACCAGCTTGAATTCTACTAATAACATCCATATCTATATCACCATCACTTTGAACAAAAGACCTGAGATATCTAAAATGTTCACATGATCATGTTCGACTCTCTTTGAGCTTCAACTTTGCATTGAATTATGTGAAAAAAAAAACATTAAATATTAGAGAAATAAACATGCACCCTCGAAAACAAATAGTTAAAATGTAATTGGAAGAAAATAAGTTATAGAGTAATAAAGAGGAAGCTGATGAGTCTAAAAAAATGAAAATAAAGGAAGAGACGGATAGATACAAATCAAGAAATAGAAAAGAAAGCAATGATAATTTTAAAAATAATATAGATGGTAAGATTTTCAAACACAAAACTGAAAATTTCATAATTTTGAGTAATATAAATTATTTTCATGATTGTCATTTCATACTCTTCAATAATTATTTTACATTATTAAATTAAATTAATGTGATAATTTTTTTTAGTCTCACTTTGCAAGAAAGAGCACCTAAGGTGGTAAGACTCAAATATTCAGTTACTATATTGCCTCAAGTGTGCCCATCACTTTCAAAAATACTCGTTAAAACCTTACCAAAAAAACTCAATATGGAACGATCCAATATAGCAAACTTTTTCACTAGAATAAAGCAATCATAACCTCAAATTAAAAGATAAACTAGATACTGACCAGGTTCAGCATGCCTTGCCCCAGCCTCCAAGCAAGCCCTCAGCACACGGCGCAAACATAAATCATTCCCATGACATTGAAGCTCGACCACATCTTCTTTTGTGTAAGACCTTGGCGCTAGCATAGGAATTGCCAAAACCTAAGGATGGAAAAGAGAGAAAAAAATTAATCCAAATACCTTAACAAAAGAATTTAGAAGAGGATATGAATAATAAAACCAAAACTAGAAAACCTACTTTGTCTAATTTGCACACTTAGTGGTTTTTTGGCAATAGATGAGATTTATGTTAATAGGATTTAGTAGATCCAGTAAATTCGCATTTAATAAATCCTGAAATGGTTAAATCCCAAAAAACTGTTTGACAATGGATTTAATAAATTCTGTTCAATCCTGTGAAACTGCCTGGCAATTTCTGGCAAGATTTAAAAATTTGTCATGGTTGCTAGACTTTAACACCAAATCATAATAGGATTTAGTAGATCCTGTAAATCCGGATTTAGGAAATCCTGAAAGGGTTAAATCCCAAAAAACTGTTTGGCAATGGATTTAATAAATTATGTTCAATCCTGTGAAACTAAAAATCTGTTATGTTTGCTAGACTTTAACACCAAATCATAATAAGATTTAATAAATCATGTAAATTCAACTTCTTAAAATATTTCAAAATTATCAAACTAGCTTCTTAAATTCAATTAATATTTTATTTCAAAATATGATAATTAATAATTATATATTTACCAAACTAATTAATTATTAATAAATTTTTTATTAAATTGAACTTTAACATGTATAAAAGAATAATTAATTAGTTATTAATTATATTTATTAAAAATTACTTACAAATTTATTGAATGAATAAAGAAATTATATTTATTTTTTATTAAAAAATAATTAAATTTATTTTAAGTATAACCAATCTGATAATATTTGATTAATTATTAATTATTAATCAATTAAATTAATAAAATTAAATTAAGAAAGAATTAACTTAAATAAAATTAATGGAAAGCCTTCCCTACATTACTCATTTAATGCTCTCTCCCCGAACCCTTCGCCTACACTGTTCCTCTTCCCGAAACCCTCGTATGTGCCTCCCCCCTCTCTAGTTTTGTCCCAAACCATCTCCTTCAACGTCGAACCCTCGCGACAGTTGCAATAGGAGCTAGTTGGGAACGTAACAACGGGATCTCGGCTTACAAAGACCCGAAACTCCCATTTTCTTCCTCATTCTGCTCTTCTCCTACCTGAAACCATCGAGGAAGGTAACTTTACGTCTTCTCTTTTGCGTGAAGCGTTTGCCCCAGATTTACTAAATCCACCGATTCTCAGGATTTAATAAATCTGGGATTCAAGACTGAAATCCGTGAGATCCAGATTTATCAAATCCGAAACTTTATTTTGTCCAAAACGACCGTCTAGCAATATCATAAATCCGTTACTAGACAGGCCCTTAGTTTCTTCTAATAGAAAACATTTACGTGCATGTTTCAAACTGAACAAGATATTAACATTTTTATCAACACACAAAAAAATGATGCTATAATTTAAGTGTTGTGTGCTCATTCTTGCCCGACCTTAAATTCGAGTAAACATATATCATAAATGCAACATCAAAACTACTTGTATCCAACTTAGCCTAAGTTAAGCACTTCAAAGGTTTAAAATTATAATATAATTAAAAACTTGAAATGGAAACCGGAATCCCAACCATATTGAAGATCAATACATTGTTCAATCAACTAAGAGCTTGTTTGGTTCGCTGAAAAAATAATGCAACGTAAAATGAATATAATATATGCCTTGTATTTAAAATAGTTTAGAGTTGCTTGGTTCATTATAACTAAATGTAAGACTCCTTTTTTTTTTTTTTGGGTTTGAAGTAGATTGAAAATAATATATTTTAAAATATATAATGTATTATTGACGGTTGGCAGGTGGCGGATGACGGGCGGCATCGACAAATGATACTTGATGCCAGCGATCGGCTGCAGAGGCTGGTGCCGTTAGCTACGAGTAGCGTCGGACGGAGGGGGGTGGTTGTGGCTTGTCAATAACATTTTTACATTAATGAATGGTGTAAATCTTAAATTCGGCCAAATCGACCGAATCCTAAATTCAACCAAAATGAACTAAGTTGTAAACTTCAAATGTATTCTTATTTTATATTGCATTTGTAATATTTTGTATCAAACACATAACTTTTCTAAAATCCTTGTAAAAAAATTACAGTACAGTACAAATTCTCCCAACCAAACAACCCCTAACTAGATTTCCCTTTAACTTGAGAGCAATATTTTTCATACATATTAGATAAATGGAAAAAACATATATTATTATACTACAAAGATATAATCATAGCAATAGGCTACCTTATACATATTTAATTTCAGAACAAATAATGATCACCAAAGTGGCAAGTTATATACATGTTGGAGGCCTATGAAGGGAGTTTATATACCTATCACAAATATTTCAAACCGGTGGGTGCGTAACTTGAGAAATGTGTCCGTTAGTACATGATAACCAATTATATATGGTGAAGGATAGCGTTACCGCTATCATGAAGCTATAGGCCATCCATTATATTTTTAATGAATAACAGTGCTACTGATAAATAGTGAAGAAAAAAAAGGGGACGAAAGTTGAGTGGCACATATATATTATTGCAGACGGCATGCATCACACAAAGAAATGAAATTTTGGGCTTTCACATTCAGTTGAAATGGCAAGCCGTTGCACTAAATGTAACATGAAGAATACGCAGTTTTGTATTAGATGTTCTGGAACAGAAAAAAAAAAAGCCGGCCTTCCCTATAATTAGGTGACACATTTGAAAAGTTCTAGAAGACTAATCAATCTGCTCCTGCAACACTAGAAACCAACAGATTTCAAAATTACACAAATCAACTTACAAATTCACTTCTTTATCACTTGAAAACCGTTCCTTTTTAAGAAAAGACGCACAAAAATAACTGTTGGGAAGAAGAAAAGTGAAAAAAAAACTTTCTCATTTTAACTGATATAGGAATATAAAAGGTGTCATTAGCATAATACTAAAATTAAGGCACAACCAAAACCTGAAATCAGATCTTATATTATATGAGAAATGTAATAAATGTAGGATAAAATGGCTTCTCAAACATTCATTAAACTAGATTAAATTATATGAGGCAAAAAGAATTTCTTTCATTATGTTCTATAAAAGAAAAAAAAGGTTATCAAACTAAGCTAATAAGCAAGGTTGTAAATAAACCAATTCACTTGATGAACAACTCGAACTCGGCTCGATTAGTACTCAAGCATGTTTGTTCAAATTAGTAAGTATATGAACACTTATTTAAAACTAAAAGGTTAAATGAACCAAATTTAAACATAATCCACTCTTTAATTAATGTTCACGAACAAGCTTGTTTGTTGTTCAACATGTAACTTGTTAAATGCTTTATACTTATATGATTAAACTCTAAAAAAAAATTGATAAACTTTAACTTATTTAATTGTAAATTTAATAGTAACATGTTCAATTTTAACATCAATAAGCATATAAATTTAATGCAATTTATTCTTTTTTTTTATTTCAATGAACTAATTTGTAAGTACGTGTGTTATTTGATTACAATAAAGTTTATTTAAAATTTATATTTTATTTTATTTGCTTGGTATAAACTAGTTATATGTTAATTTGAAAATTATTTAATTGCTTATTTATTTACATTTATAAAATCATTTCTTCATAACTTTATATAAAAAACAAGTACTTGTTCGAATTATTAATTTGCTTACTAGGTTTATACAAAAATCAAGTAAAAATTAATTTTTAATTTTATATAAAAGATCAAGTGCTCATTCAATTTTATCTTATTTAAATAATATAAACAATCCAAGTACAAATAAAGTATGAATATAAAAAAATTTAATCAAACCAAATATGAACATATATGTGAAAGCTCAAACTAAACATGAAACTTATAATTTGACCAAACCAAACATAATTTATGACATGTGCTCGATTACAACCTTTACTAATAAGACATGAAAAGCCATTCCCATGTGATGGTAATATAGGTAAGCATGAAACATCTATCATAAGCAAATATGATGAACACATACTAACAAAAAAGAGACCATGCACCCTAAGAGGACATCATGATTTACAATATTTGGCTAAACTATTAACCTATGTGATGTGTAGTGTTTTTGTGTGGCCCCATGGTTATGAAGGATCTCAGCTTCATCTAGCAATTTGTGACTATGGGCATTAAATTTTTATGTCTTTCGTGTCAGACGTTTGTTTTTGCGCTATGGGATTGTACCCCAGTGATACATATGTTATCGTGAAACAGACCGTCGACGAAAATCACTTTGTGCGCCATCGGGCTCAAATTGGCTCAATCATTGACAAATTTGTATGAATGACCTCGGGACTAAACAGACTGCGCGAGTGCGTCCGGAGCGCCGATTTTACCTAATGATGACACCCATATCAACAGGGTTCAATAAATGAATAATTATCACCTAAATCGAGACACTCATATTTAAAAAATTTTAAAATTGAGGGAAATGATTTAAATGATGGGATGAGAAATGAGGAAATGACAAAATTGTTACATAAAACATGTTATATATATTAAAATCATTTTCCTTCCCTAAAAACCTTTTTTTTTGTTACATAAATCTTATTTGTCATCATTTGGCATTTAAAAAAAAGTAAATATAATGAGATAAAAAAATCTTACCTAATGCTGTCTTCCCCTCACTAGCCTCTTCTCCACTCCACTCCTATACATGAGGCTTCTCCTTCCCAGCCATTTTTTTCTCTTATTTTCTCCCTCACCGCCACCTCTCTCTCTCTCTCATTTCTTTTATTTATTTTTTTCGCAAGCTGCAAGCGAGGGCACGGATCTCCTCACAACTATTCTTCCACTTCTCCTTACTGTGGAGTATCCCCAACTCCCCATTCCCTCTTCTAACAAAAAAAAGGATCTCCTCACAGCCATACTTCCACTTCTTCTCACCGTGAAGTGTCCCCAACTCCCCATTCCCTCTTCTAAAAAAACAGTAAGCTCCATCATCCAAACGGACCCCTCTCCATTACTCCAATAAACTCCCAAGCGTGGCCTTCTCATCTACGCCTCCTA